GATGCTGAGGATGGGGAGAGATAGCTCGCAAGCGTCTACTCCACCACTGGCATCGCCCCATATCCCTTATCATTCACCCCCACGATGTTCTTTTGAATAATTCGAGACTGTGGGACTGTAAATACGGGATGAGTACGGTTCCTCCCACGATCTTGACACCTCAGCATGGATATCGGGGAAAAATGGAAGGCCCCCGTCGTGAAGGCTGTGATCTGGATTCAGAAAACGCTTGTCTAATTATTTTGACCTGTTTCTAGGCTGGCCAAACGATATTTTATTTTGGCGAGTGCACGTAACACACCCCATAATCACGAATCACACCTCATATGCGAGGGACTGTGGTGGCGAGTCCACAGTCTCCTCTGTCTCGACACTCATCACATCCACCTCCTCGGAGGAAGATAGATGAAGCGTCTGGCTCTCTCTCTCTGGGGGGGGGTGGGAAGAAACCGCAGCGTGGGCTTCCGAACACCGAGAGAGAGCCGCGGATCTAGCGGGTGAGTACCGAGAAAAGTACGAGCCTGTCTCTGATCCCTCCGCTAAATCCACCCGCGATCCCCACGACAACAGTCTGCGCTGTGCCTCGGCAACAGCGGGACCGCTACCAGCGGGGTCGCGAGCCTGGCCGCTCTCATCAAACACAGCCAGGCGAGAGCGGAGCGAGAGCAGCTCGAGCAGCTCGCAGTGATGACAATCAGCTCCTCGAAAGCTGACCGTGCATGCTCCGCTCTCAAACAAACGACACACAAATCATGTGTATCCCCCGCCGCCAGATATCGTGGGCAGGGAGGAACACAGCGTTTGTAATGCTGTTTGCTCGCCATAGACTTTTTCATGATTGATTTTTATATATACTTGTGCGGACAGACAACAGTAAATAGACAGACACATCCGGCAGAGCACAAACCAGCTTCTGCCCTTCAGTAGCGCTCTGCCGGATGCGCTTTTATACTTTCTGTTGCTTACGTCACCCCGCTCGTGACGTCTCGCTACTCCATTGGACTGATTTGACACGTGCTTCAGAACGCGGTCACGCAGGGGCGTTCCCAAAGTGACTTCGACGCAGCTCGAGTTCCTAAAGGGGAACTAAGGCTTTGTCTGCGCTCTTTCCATTTAAAATTAGAGCCAACCACTGGATTTAATCGTGATCCAAACAAAGATGCAGCATACATGCAGCATGAGTAGTTTTTAATCTAAATTAGACTGTATCATTTCGAAATTTGAAGCAAAAACAGAATGGTCTGACTTTAGTTTTGTGAAACTATACTACATAAAACATATCTGAACGAAAGAGCAGACGAGCTGAATGAGATGCAGATTCACTCTCTGACAGCAGGTGGCACTCATGAACAGCAATGATACAGTGTTTCCTTGGTTACCGCTGTAAACAAAGCAGAGCTGCGCTTATGAACACTACTTTAATATGCACTGTTCAGAGGCAAGATGAAAAGAAAATACCACGTAAACTTTTCTAAAGACGGTCAGTTCCCCTCAGAGATGCATTCATATAAACTCCTACTCCAATTGTATCACGATTTGTTTGGTATCTCAACCGATTTGAATCGTCACATATTTGAATCGATTTTCGACTGGCTCATGGTTAATCGTTACATCCCTATTTGTGGCACTTTCTTTAGGCTTCATCTTTATGACAGTAGGTGGTGGCAAGTCTTTTTTATGATTGAGTCACTGAACCATTCCAGTAATTAAAGGGATTGTTCTCCCAAAAATGAAAATTCTGTCATTAATTACTAGAGCTGGCTCGATATCACTTTTTCAGAACCGATACCGATCCGATACCAAACATTCTGAGTATCTGCCGATACCAATATCGATCCGATACCAGCGCAGTTTTTTAAAATCAGTGTAGAATTTCTATACCTCAGTGTGTAGGTCGATCATCACTCTTTTGAATGTTACACACAATCTACTAAATATAGACAGCTTCATTATAAAGAAAAAATAACAAAAAAAAAAGATATAATCATAATCTATGACAAAAACACTATTATAAACTAGGTTAATGGATAATTCAGTAGCAAAACTTAGTCTAGAAAAATCATGAGTGCACAATAATTTTATAAAATTCTAAACTTTTAGTGAAAAAAATACATTATTTAGTGGGTAACAAATAAAAGTAAATAAGTGTAGGACTAAATCTGGTAGGCCTACACATTGCTCTTTGTATTGTTGTAAAATACATAAAATGAAAAACAAGTAATATATTTATATATAAATATTAATTAAAGTATTAAACATTTGAAGTAGATCAA